GCGACAACTTCATCGAAAATTCAAACGAATTGGCAATTTGTGAGATCTCTTTTTGTACTCGACACGCCACGTTCGCTTTTTCCTAACGAAAAAAGTGTCATTGTTCCTCCCCAACAGATTTGGGCAATGTTAATTAGCTGTTGGTTGTGCCGAAAAGTCTGATGGTGTGTGTGTGTGTGTGGGGTGAGGGGGTTGGTTTTTAAAGGGGGACAAATGTAACAGTGTAAAACTGCAGCGAATTTGTTAACATTCAGCAAACAAGTCCAGACGAAAACAAAAACAATAGACGCATGAGCGGATAATATACACGGAGAGGAAGGTTTATATACATATTATTTAGTTCTTTTAAAAAGAAGATTAAAATCTATTTTTTTTAGCATAATTATTTAATCAATACACAAAGTTCGTGCTACTATATTTTCAATAAATTATATTTTGTGGAAATCTAACTATAACTTTTCCTTCCTACTTTACATTCTTATTAAATTAGTGCAAATAAAACAGGAACTTTATATTCTATTTAAGTCTGTGGAAGTAGAACCAGATCTTTGTTCATTTATAATTATAACTTTCCATATTGAATAAAATGAAATTAATAAATAGTTTATAAGGGCAAAATTAACATATTATTAAACATAATTTTATGAAATTTACCATATGTAATCACACTGATTTCCTTTTTATTTAAATGATTAAATCAACTCTACAGACAATTGTTTTCTGTGTAATTACAGCTGGCCTAACCACGCCCCCTTTTCGCCCTTGCTTGATTACTGAATAATTGAGTGCTGCGTGTAATGAAATTCGTATTCAAAATTCGTCGTCATTCAGTTGCTGCCGCTGATTCAGAATCTGACTAAATGTTTGCAGAGTTTTGGGGTTTCGGGGGGAGGAGTTGTAGGTTTGATGGTGGCGGTAGTCTCGGGACACCAAATAGTGGGAGGTTTTAGGGTGAAATGCGGAGGGGGAGAGGGCGTTTTTCAGAGGTGAGTAAGTGCGTTTGTAAATGTGTGTGTGTGTGTGTGTGTGTGTGTGTGTGTGTGACTCTGAGTCTGTGTGCTGCGTTGGTGCGTCTGTGTTTGGTTTGCGTAGCCGACTTGCATACGTAATGTTCTTCCTGCCTTTCACTGCCTTCCGCCGTCCCCACGTACCCCTCCCCTCTTGCCATCATCATCGCAACATCATTCAACGCTTTTATAGCCATTCAACTTGACGCATCCGTTTTGGCCAAACTTTTTGGCCCGGGCCGCAGCTGAATGGGCCACGAGGCCATGAGCCAAGTTCCACGAGCTGCTGCCGCTGCTAAAGCTGCTAACGAGTGGGTGGTTTAAGAGGTTGTTCCCATTGCACCACCAGAATTCTGGATTTTCCACGAAGCCGCATTAAGAGATACAATTGGTATTAATAAGCGTTTCCTAGATACCAGCAACAAAAAAAGCCTGATAATCATATTACCAAAGTACTGGGAAATGTTTTTTCATTTAATTTTTAATTCGATTTTAATAAGTGCTCCAGGAAATTCTAAAAAAATTGAAACAAAGGGTATATTAAGCATTGAGCATATTAATGGTACATATTTATATATATATATATATATTATATATATTATCTGATATGTAAGCTAATAATACATTATATTTATGTATAAATAATAGCTCTTTTAAGGAAATTTATTATTTTGAGCCCTAGCGAAAGAAGAACTTTAAATTATTTGTACCTGGTATTCTTAAACTGTTTTACGTATACGTAATATTTGTATTATTTCCGTTTTGCTCTTCTTAGAGTTTACACAAAAACAAGAAAATCGTATAACTTGTTTCTTTGATTGAATATAACTAAAAAATAGACTTGGGGTTTGTAATTATTTACTTTTAATTTGGTAAGGAACATTATTAATTTTAGTATAATAAAAAAGAATTAATAATGAGATATATTTTAATTAAATTCTGTTACAGGTGCAATAAGTATTAATCTTAGGTCTTAGTTTATATAAATTGATCTCTTTTTACTATTATTTTGTATCTGAATCAAAGTTCCTTGTTCCTGGTATTTCAGAAGTGGGTGACGTATACGTAATATTTTAAAATTTTTTGTTTTGTCCTCTTCCAAATTACATAAAAGTAAGTAAACCAAATACAATTTTTCTAGACCTTAATATTTATTCATTGGTCATAGTTTCAAAATTCCAACGCTCTTGAACCTGGTATTGACAAAGTGGCTTACGTATACGTAATATTTTTCTTTTTCTTGACTAGAGTTAAAATAAACTAATAACATCCAGTGCAAGTTGTGTAAAATCTTAAAAATGTACTCAATAAATTAAGTTTCGCTTATATTTCAGTTTTTTAAAGTAAGAAAATATTATAAATTTAAATAATAGTAGTTAATAGTATTTATAATGCAAAGTAATTCATAGTTTATAGATTAATGTTAACCTCAAATTTAATATTTATTCCCTTAGAGGTAAAAAGTTTACTACTATAAGATCTCTTTAAGGGAAAATGATCACCATTTAGAGTTTGTATAAATCTAAATGCTTAGTTACTTATATTAAGTAAGCTTTGCACCAACCTCGCTGGTGCTAACAAAAAAGGAACTGCAGCCTGACTCCAAGGGCAGGGGCCTAGGCAAGGGAATAAAAGTAGGAGCAAAACCAGGAGCTGTAGCAAAACCAGGAGCGTATTCAGGACTATGAGGCGGACCGGGTCAGAAAACTCCAGCAGTTACTAACAAGTCGCGTTCGCTTCATTATGTGGGCTTTTCCTTCGTATTACCGCGTTTATGTCACTTTTCACTTTTCCACTCTCTCTCGCTCTCATCTCGACGTCTTTCTCGCCTGGCGTGCCATATAAATTGTTTTGGGATTTAGTCGCATGAATCTCTCTGCCTCTTCCAGAACCCAGGACCTATCCCTAAACCAGTTTCCCAGCCAATCCCCAGACGCGGCTCACAGCTCCGGCTCATTATTGTCGTCGGTTCGTTTCTGTTCTTTGTTTAATGACATCATTTTGTATGAAAAATTGTAGTTGCATACGGAAGCGGGGGTAGGATAGGGTCGGGTAAGCTCTGCCAAAATTATAAAGTTGAGCAATGATTAATGGCGGTTCATACGTCGTTCTGTCCTCTGCTCCCCCTCTTCCACATCCTATCACGCATATATCGTCTGCGTAATAATCCTTGTCATGAAATATTTTGACACAGACATGAAATTTCAGCTTCATAAAATTAAAAAAAGAGAAGAAAAAAAAAATAAGAGAGGAAACAGACAGATAGAAAGATCTTCATTTATTTACTTTTTTTCGTGTGGCAAATCCGGAGTCACGTTTCTCAAAGGAAAAGCGTATGAAAAGGGGAGTGAAAATGTCAGCTAAGCGGCAGGGGAATTACAAATTAAATGTGTTGACAAGCAGTGAAATGAGTAAGAAGTTAAACTTGGCAACATTTTTGCTTCAGTAAATGGCGAGAAAACCCAATGAGTCGATAAGAAATCAAAGAAATCACACAAAGAAGTGGAAATACTTTTGATGTTTTGGGGTTTAACTAATTCAAAAGCATTTAAAGATTCCTTTAAGAAATTCACAAACATTCTTCCTGCTATCAAATTTAAGTTTTCCCCTAAAAGCTTGTACTTATGTATTATTCAGTTAATTAAGTTGATGTTATGTCGTATAGTCATGTGTTAAAACCTCAATTTTAATCAAAACCCTTCTAGCCTCAAATAATTAAAACTAACCCGAAGCGTACCATTTTCTATTATACCATTTTCATCGTAATACATCCTAAATCTTGATTGCCTTTGTTAGCACGTAGTAAAACCCTTTTGTGGTTATATCCTCACACTCTGATATAGATATGAAAGCCAAGGCATCAGCCACAAAATGATGATGAGACCGATGATGAGGCAGGGCTTTAACCGCACACATCCTGTACGAGCTTATCCATCCCAAGATCCCTATTCCTCAAATTTGAGCAACAATAAAAGTGTATAAAACACCATCCCCCACCTTGGAAATCCTTTTAGTTCCCTTTTTCCTGGGGAATCCCCGTACTGGCACACACACGTCGGACGGGAAGGACTCATGGCCAATATTTGCTTATAGTCCGTGCAAATAGGGTGCCATCACTGGTGCCCGTGTGCCGTGTGCATTGTGTGTGTGCACATTAAATACCGCATAAATTAAATTAATTGCTAAAGTTTATTTTTTATTGCCCCAAACGAGGGGGAGTGGGGCGTGTAATCACTTTTCATTGTGTACCAATCTTGGCACAGTCTCGGCAAAAACTTTTCAACACCGTGGCCGTGCAGGAGGGGCTGGGAATATTCCATCTTGCGGTGGCTCATTTAAAATTTAAATGGCTTCAAAGTGAGCATTTGCCTATAAATAGCAGCCTTTTGTGGCCATTTCCCCCCGCGGCAACCTTTTTTCGCTCTCCCGTGCTAATGAGTGGCAACCCTGACGGTAGCCCGCAAGCGTGTAACGTTAAAATACAAATGTCAAATTCCGCTGCGACAGCAGAAGCAGCTGTCAGTTGTCCCAGAGTCCTGTGAAAAGTGTGCTCCATGAAAATCCATGCCAAAGTGAAATTTCCCCAGTCTGCAGTCGAATTAATTGTTCCCCTGATGAAAACTGAGTGACAGAGAAAGGTGGCAGGCAGGCAGGGGGGAGTTAAGTTAACAAACATCTAACTGTCTTTTTGGCAACTTTACTCTCCCATTGGGTGCAATTAAAAATTATGTTTATATTTATTTTCTGCTCCCCAACTCTCTGCATACACAATTCTCCTGAAATGGCACTCGAAAAGGACAACGAATAAACAAAATATGCAAGGGAAACGGAAATGAAAATACAAAATGGCCGTCAATGTAGACAGCTGACAGGGCAGGAGTTTCCTTGTAAGCAGGAAAGGATTGCATGTGATAAATGTGGCTTAAAAATAATCACCATAATTTGAAAGTCTAAAAGTTTAAAAATTATTTAATTTCTTTTACTTAAACTTACCTTTTAATTATATTTCGTGGTATGTATTATTTTGTAGTACACGTTTGTGTAATCCAAAGCCAGTCTTTAGATCCTGAAAATGCAAAGTTAGAGGAATACAAAACATGATTTATAATGATTTTAAATAGAACACCATAGTAAAATCGATGTCGAATTTATGTAAGTGAATTATTTAAAACATATCGTTATTTATTATTTGGTGAGCTGAATTATATCCAATGTATCTGTATAATTAAATCACAATGTTCTATTTTTTTACTATAAGTTATCTTCGGTTTGAGTGAAATTGTTGGAAAACCGCAATCAATAGCATTGTCAACAAATCTGTGGAAATGGCATTACATTCCCCTCCATATACCAGATAATAACATACAACTTCGGTTTCGGTCCAATGAGGCAGTTAGGGTTTTAATTCGTTATATTTTTGTGTTTTTGCTTCTTTTTTTGCTTCTGTTGTTTTGCAGCGAAAATTCGCCAGCTACATGAAAAACGCATAAGCCGAGATCCCAATGCAGCCATACTGGGAGACAGCCCCCCCCCCCCGCACACACTCCCTGCCACCCGCAAGACCCTTTATTCCTGCTGTCGCTGTCGGTGTCCCGCTCGAGCAGCTTATTCTTCTTCGTCGCCGTTGTTATTGTTATTCCTGCCGGCCATTCCGTTGTATTTACTAAGAGGGCAGCGGAGAAGGCAGCGGAGAGGGCAGAGCGGCGACACCAATATGCATTTATACGAGGCATCGGCTGCAGATGCGAAAACATCAGCAAACAGAAACAGAAACGGAAAAAAGAAACAGCTAGGGGTCAGGGGTGTAGGTGGGATTATTTAAAAGGGGTTTGGATTTTTTTTAATCTTTTAAGTGTAATATGATCAAATTAAAGGAAATTATAGCAAGTCTTCTAAGCAAAGCTTAGCCCAACGAACATAGAGGTCAGACACTGCCTTAAGCTTTCTACAGTTTAAATTGACACTATAATTCCCAACCAGTTAATGTGCTTAATTATCGTTACCTCGTCTGAATTCTGAGATTTTTTTTTGTGTTTTATAAGGTCTGTCAATTTGTTATTGTATTTTGTAAAATCGGAATGCTTTGAAAATTAAGAAAATATATGAATATCTGCTCAAGCTTTTATTAATCAATCTTCAATAATATTTAAATAATTAAGAAAAAGTTTTAAATAAGAACTATAGCTCCAAGAGTGTTAAGGACCCCCTTTCCTACACCACTGGCCACAGAAGGTCTGAAAAAAATAAAACAGAAAGCAAAACAAAGGCAGAAAGAGAAACAGATCTCGCAAAAAAAGAGAGCGAAAAACACAATGCGAATGTTCAGTGGGGTGCAAAGAGGGGTTTAAGGGGTAGGGGGGAGGGAGGTTGTGGTACTGCCATGGTGTCTACGGAGTTCTATAAGCCGCGCTTTATAACTCATATGGACTTGTTATGTGCCATGTTATCGTCTTGTTGTTGTATATGCATTTGTCCTGCTTCTTAACTTGTTTTCTGTTGCCCTTTTTTGGCTTTTTTAATATGGATGTTTCAGCGAGGGTATTAAATGGGAAATGATGAATATGGGATAACTAAGATTTATTAATCTACAATAAAAGGGAAATTCTTAAAGTGAGAATAATCTATACTTTAAACTAAAGAAACTTAATAAATAATAATATAATATATATAATATCATTTAAACAAATTAATTAAGCCTTAAACAGATTTCCTTTGATCATCGAATACAACTTTATACACCACATACTTTATTGAACCTTAATTGGTTAAGATAATTACTACCTTCTCTTCTCCTCTACTCTGCTCTTCTTTTATCCCCTCCTCTCTTCCCTTCTCTTCTCTTCTCCCTTCTCCTTCTCCTTGCTAAACATCAATCAACAACAATCTATTGATGGATTGATCACCTCATCGTATAACAGGGTAATGTCCATACCATCTATGGATCGGTCACGCCTCTTCTCCAAGGAGTGGGCGGCAGAGAGAAGCAGGAGCAGACAGGGAAAAATGCTGTTAAACAAGTTTCGGGGCATTTTTTTTCAGTTCTCATACAAATACATACATATACATATATACTTTTTCCTTCTGGCCCGGAGCCTGACGAGTGCGTGCCTTATGCCTGCCATGGGCATGAGAATTGCTTTTAACGTTCTCTCCTCATTTTTTTTTTGGCCACGTTTCTACCAGTTTACTTCTTTTTTTTTTCTCTTTCTTGCTGTTTTGCAATCCTGTCTGGGAGTTAACAAAGTGCGGAGGCACTTAATAAGCAAAGTGTTTGCCCTGCATCCGTGGCAGAAACCCGTATACACATACTACATACATTACCAAACTCGCTGGACAAACTTGTACTCTCGCGCCTTATCGATATTACTAAATTAAAACTCTCCAAGCCAGGTACTTGAACGGAGGGTGAGGCGCAGATACAAACTTGTCATCAGCATAAGGAGGTGGCAAAAGTTTTCCACCTAAATTCAATTCGAGATGCGACAACAGCAGCAGCAAACAGAAACAAAGAAGCTGCCCCAAAGCGCTCGGAAAAGTCGAACTGAAATCTGGTGGGAAGAATGAACGGCTCCTCCTGCTCCATAAGATTTCCAGCCATCATCCTTACCAGAGATGAGGTTGCTGCTTTTGCTGGGTAAAGTTTTATGGCATTCCCCCCTCCCCCCTTGCCCATTCCTTGGCACCCTCGTGCGTTTATAAATTACGTTACGTATACGCAACGTGGGCGAGCGCACATAAAGTATTCGCGTTATGAATATAGAAAGAAGTAAACGCAGTAAATTAGGCGAAAAATTCAATAATTTTGCCAACCAAATGGGACCAAACAAACACGGAGGGGAACCACCAGTCGGGGAGCAAACACTCGGGCGTCGAGGTTTGTGCCCCTTGTCGAGTGGCAACACTCAGGAGTGTAAACATTCTGGAGAGTCCCGATAGCTGCCACATTATATAATGGGAAAAACATTAAGAAGAAACATTACAGAGCTTAATCAATGTTGAGATTGTTTTATTTATGTGGGGGAAATTTAACAAAAAGTAAGACGATATATGATATGTTAAAGATTTTTGAAATATTTTAGTTTCTATTACTAATTGTTTGTTATATATTTATTGGGTGATTTCAGCTTTGTTAAATATTTTAATAAGTTTCCAATTATTACTAATTGAATGTTATTTTGTTATATATTTATTGGGTAATTAAAGTAAGCAATTTAAAATTTGTTGAGTATTTTATTCAGATTTAAGCTTTGTTAAGTATTCTATTCAGAATTGATTTTTTTTGTGTGCAATTTATTCATTGAATTATGCTAATAAATGTCAGTTAAACGTATTTGAAATTGAATTAAAGACTAATTTTCTTTGATAACAATAGAAAATGTTTAAGCAAATATAATAATGATGTCACAAACTTTGTAATATTTAAATTATTCAGTATACTCTACGTTTTACTTTCTTATAGATTTACTTTCAAAAAGAGCTATTTTCCCAATTTTTTTATTTATATAATTCAGGACAGCGTTTAATAGGTTTCAGATGTAAGAAATCGACTTTACTAAACTTTTTTTGCAACCCAAAAACAAACATAAAACTCAAAGAGTAATTAATTACAACCTAAATCTCTTTCCTATGAATTATTTGTTCTTAACACGCTTAATCTTTGTCAAAAAGTTGTTGCAGATACAAAAATCACGCCAAGTTGTGGTAACTTTTGGCCTCCTGCCAACCGTAATTGGTCTTGGCTATCATGAAAGTGGCCAAAGGGCAACACCCAAAAACTAAATTACACAATTAATAAGCGCAGCCAAGCAAACCAGAGTAGCAACAAACCGAGACAAGCAAACCGCATCACATAATAACCGCAACATTTAAGGCGAAAATCTGCAATTAAGGAGCTGAATCTACCAAAAACAGGAAAAGAAATAAAGGCGGCAGAAGGAGGAGGACCTTCCGCAGGAGCGTTTGCGTGGGAAACTAACCGAATCCCGATCCAGATCCCAACTTCCTACCAAAAAGCAACTCAAAAATTAATCAGGCGAACATAATGCAGGCGAGGGCCAGATGAGGCGGCGGAATGCGATAAAGGCGAATCCTCAATGTATTGCCCGGCACATACATATATAGATAATGAAATACGAGGCATCCGCAAAGACCAAAAAACCCAACCACAGCCAAAAACGGAACACTCTCCTGCAACCCCCTAGTCCCGGGGTAAAGTTGCTCCTTTTCCCCGCCCCAACACGTCTTTGTCCCTGGCCCGAGGGCAGACATGGCCAAAATAATGGAGCCAATGGCCATGGCCAGAATAACAGCAACAGCAAACCCGAAATGGTTAACAAAGCAAAACATAAACAACATTTTCAGCGAATTCGTAATGCCCTTAAGGAGCACCACACATAACAAATAGCAAATAGAAATTTGAAGGGAATATAAATCATAGGATAGAGTTTTCCGAAGGCAATTCTAACGTTTTACTATAATTTGTATTCTATATATTAATGTATAAATTGTCTAAATTCAGGGAAGTTAAGAAAACATGTTAAATTTACCCATTTTAGAATACCAAACCCACAACAAATGTCTTCAAACTAATAACTAATTACTTTAATTAGAAAAACTATCATATAGTAATATAATAATGACCTTCCTTTTCTCGAACTAATTTATTAATTAAATAAATATTAGAACTTTATAGCTCAGAATCATCACATTCAGCTTCTTTGAGTTTAATAGAACTTCCTTCTAATATGTCAATATGAAAAGGATTCTAAGAATCAACTCAAGCAGCTCTCTCTTGTTCTCGCCAAAGTCCTTGTCCAATAGATTCACTTCCTCTTGGCCAAATAGTTCAAGTGCTTGCTTGGCGAAAGAGTAGTAGCAAACAAATAAAGTAACCAAGAGACCACGAAGACAAGGACGACAAGGAAAAAGCTCATAACCGAGGTCCTGGCGCTTGGCATTTTTGGCCAGCAGCTGCCAGACAATGCCACGCCCCCCACCTAAGCACATATGTGGCTGCGTGGGAGGGGGCGGGAAAACTCTAGCCGGGAAAATGTATGGGAGGAAGGG